CGGAGAAAAAGAGGAGAGCGGAGCGGGGGGGGGGGGGGGGTTCGGAGGATGGGTTGCTTCAAAGCAGCAGTGCCACGTGGAGCCCAGGCAGACCCTGAGCTCCATGCGGCGCTGCTGCTTTGAAATACCACGAAGAGCCCGGCGTCAGGCTTCAGGCGACGTTTCAAAGCAGCAGCGTTGCATGGAGCCTGGGGTCAGCTGGGGAATCCCATGCTCCTTATGGTGCTGCCGCTTTGAAATGCCACGGGGAGCGCTTTCACCTTTGAAGTGTGGCAACAGCCTTCTAAGGCAGAGGTGCCCTAAACTATTCAATTAGCCCATTAATCTAAATGTAACATCCCTAGTAGTAACTAGAAATAATTTAGGCTGTGGTATCAGAGCTGTATCACGCCCCTCATCTGGCCATTTCTTCCGTTTCCCATACAGACCTGACACACTTCTCTTGGGTGTCTCAGCAGCAGCATAAAACAGGTACTGCATGCAGCTACAGAATACAAGTTTTCACAAAACAGCATGAGCATTCTAACAGTTTCAACAAGTGCTGAGTGACTAATCTCCAAGTAACATTCTGAAAACATCTCTAAAGACTTCACTGTATTATATTTGGAGCAATGGGATGTTCACTTAAATTTCCTTGTATCGTGTCTCTAGCACATCACAGCTAAGCATTCAGTTCCCATTTGGAATTTATAATCAGAAATACCAAAATTTGACCTATGCTTCCCCCTCCAACTCTGATGAATCTAAAGACTCAACCAGGAACTGCCAAGAACTTCTGTTCAGAGCATCATGTAACAAAATCCTCCACTCTTAAATGCAGATGGGTCACCTACAGAGACCCAACACCATCACCTTTAGCCAAAGCAGCCCTCAGAGCTCCATGACAGTGAATTACCGGGCACTGGAGGGGCATCTAGGTTCTTGTCCTTCTCAGTGTTGACAACCACAGCTCCTCTCATCAGCGGTGGGAAGAAAGGGGCAACAATAGAGGCATCAAACTTGGTGATCGGGATGCTACACGGGAACGCCACTTGCTCAATCACTTCTGTCTCCATCGTTGACCAGAAATCTTCCACATTTACCTCGCTGGACGACAAGAATTCTGGCCAGGTAAACTAACAGGTGAGAGGACACAGATCATCAACAGCACACATGCTTCATTAATGAACAGCTCTGTATTCACTTGTGACTTGAAACAAACATAATTCTACACACACACACACGGAAGAGGAGCCTCTCTCCTTTCTATGAGGTTGGAGTCCACAGGACCATTCTTCCATATAGGAATTCAGATCAATCTACTTTAGCTAGAAACAGGGTTTACTACATAGTACTATTCATTTCCCCGTCTGCTAGGAAAACACTCCATGACAGCTCAGAGAAACAGCTGCTAACAAAACCAGAAGGATGTTTCAAAGTCCATAAACAGGAGGATGGTGATCTTAAAAGTTCCACTCAGCTCCCTTATATCAGAATCCTGTTGGATCAATGGTGTAATCAGTAGGACACACATTTTTCCAAACTCCTTCCTAAAATATTTCTCTCCCAGGAGAAGACAGAATGTAGAGAGCATTAAGTTAGGCTGCATACTCCTGTTAAGCATCAGCTGCACAATATTAGACAAAACCTTTGTGTACAATGATTGATTAAGCAAATATCTTCTTGAGATTTAACCGGGGCCCTGTCCCTTTACAGCCAAGAGACCATGGGTTAGCTAGCAGTGTTTAATTAGTCCTGCCTTGCCACACATGTGCTGAGAGTAGGATTTTAAAAAGGAGGAAATCCAGCAGTTAGGGGCTGACTATGGAGGACAGCAGTTGAGCTGAGTTGTAGCTAGAGAGCTGAGCCAAGGGAGTAAAGCTGGCTTCTGTGGTGGGTCCGCTAGCACAGTGTTTCTCAACTAGTGGTATGAATATCTTTAGGGGTACTCGAGAGAAGTCTGGGGGGTACGTCAACACAACTGAAATTCGGAGAAAACAATTTCTGTTTTAAGTTTTACAGCGCTTTATTGTTTTTGTACTTTTTACACCCAAAAACTTCATTGCCCACCCAGCTACGATTAACTTGTTTAAACAAATGTGTTGCAATGGTAGAAAAAATTGGTGTGTGTCTGAAAACTGTGGGTACTGGGGGGTACAGGTTTGGGTTTGTTTGTTTGTTTTTTTAACTAGGGGGTACTTTATAAAAAGAGGTTGAAAAACATTGCCCTAGAACAAAAGGCTAGACTCCAGGAAGGTGTCCTGGAGCTAGTAATCCACAAGGGGAACCGGGAGCCGATAAGGAGATGCTCAAGCCGAGGGAGGGGGTGAAAGATATGAGGCAGTGTTTTATTCTGTAGCTCTTCTGAGGGGCCCTGGGAGAAACCCTGGGATCTGCTCCTCTGCAGAAGAAGAGCACAATTCTCATTCGTTTGGAAGGACTTTGGTGCTGGCCTGGGGGGGAGCTGGCCAAAGGGACTATGAAGAGGCCAGCTGAGAGAAGTCAGCATGAGGTCTATGTTATAGCTGGACTGATACCCCAGAAGGAGAGGGTACTTTTAAGTGGCTTAAGGGGTAGCCCATGGAAGATACAGATGTAGGCAACCAACAGGAGGCAATCAAGAGGAAGGCCCAGCAAGTCTGCACCCAGCCCCCAGGATGAGCTAACTGGTGAGTCACATCGGCAAATGTGGGGCTTGCTTTGGGGCAGGACTCTAAAACGGAGAAATGCTTTCAACAAAAGCTGGAGAGAGCATTTGTGGCAATCTACCTCTATGTTCTTTAGTGCCAGGACATTTTCTGCATTCCTCTGGGCTATCTCAATCTTGGGCACAATGCCACAGACTCCACAGATCATATCGTTGTAGTCCCGGACAGTGAGGCACTCAAAAGCCCAATAGCCATTGCACAGCAGCTCTTGGAGCTGACTCATCTCCTCAGGCCTCAGGGTTTTCTCTGGGAAGAAAAGAGCAGGTTACTTTTGAGGTCATTTGCACTGTTCACACAAACTGCATTCACACGGCTTTCACTTCTTAAAGCCAATGTAGAAGTGGCACACTAGCCACCAACAGGAAACATTTTATTACTCAGACAGCACATTATCTCCATGAAAGTCTTATGGAGAACGGATCATAACGGTACTGTTTAAAATGGCTTTCAGTCCTAGTCCCAAGACCCTCAGCAGCCTCTAAGCAACAGGCCAAACACGAGTACTTTCCAAGGCGAGCTCTCTGAATTAGCTGAGTACTATGAAGAGTCTACAGTACTTCTTAGAAGCCATTTTACATCTAGGAATCAGTGTCTTTCCCCATAGGACTCTCAATTGCTGATATCACTGATAAGGAAAAAGCCTCACAGAGCCAGCTGGACAGTGCCAGGAGAGAGATACAGGTGATATTTCTGGTTTCCTCAGAAAACAGATATGAGAATAAAGCAGGGATGTAAAATCCCATTTAATTACTTAGTTAAATGTTATGTTTAAACAGTTAACTAATTAAACAGGTGGGCAGGGGCCTCCCCTTGTCTGCTGTGGCCAGAGTAATAGCACCCCTGTCCACAGTGGGCCTGCCGGGGCACGGATGGGCACTGCTCCAGCCAGGCTGAAGCACTTCCCATCTGCAGCAGGCTCCCCGAGGCAAGAGCAGCCCCCTGCCCACAGCAGGCAGAGAGCTGCTCCAGCCCCCACCAGTTAACCGTAATCCGTAAACATCAGCCAGTAAGTTTAACCATTTGACCATTCACATCCCTACCATGAACTCCCACCTAATAAGAACAAGCATCAATGGCTCAAGAAGACTGGCAAGGATATGTTGCAAAGAAGATGCAGAAACACAGTCTAATCCATTTCAAAGTGAACACCCCGAGGAAGGATTTTTAGACAAGGTTTTAAATTAACCAAAATAACATCTAGCCAAAGCAAATCAAGCAGCAAAGAGTCACGTTTTCTGTTCCTTGGAAAGAAGGAAGATAATGGCTATATATGCCAGTTTCTGCCAAGAGCTGAACAAATAAATGCTCAGAAAAATAGAACCGAAACGCCTATGTCATCAGTAGGCCTATGGCTATGGATGGCTCTGATCTCACTTCCTGAAAGCTATCCCCTGGTGCCATATTGCTTTCCCAAACACTTGGGCACTTCCAGCCACATCTCCATCTGCCCAGCATGTAACATTCCATAGCTCCAATCGGCCACTCCCAGGCATCCATGAAGATCTCTCTCCCAGTCTGACCTAAAACCCTAGCTGCCTTCTCAGCCTGAACTCCCCACATTGAGAAGTCTCCAGGCCAGCTTCCTGGTTCACCTGATTGAACAAAGAACCTGGACCCTTTTTATTTTCCCCCTTTTACCCTTAGCTGCCTGAGTAACCCCATCCCTCTTGTTCTACAAACTGCCACTGAAAGGAGCAGCCCTTTCATTCTGCAGAGGAGACTTTAAGGATGCCTGGAGAGTGAGCTATAAATGTTATATGCTGGGAAAATGGAAATGGAGCCAGTAGAGTTCAGGTTAAAAATGGAGAGGGGGCTTTTCCCCTTTCACAGAACATGGCAGCCACCAAATACATTTGACTATTAGCTAACTCAAGGCATTTCCACCCGTCTACATACAAACAGAGAAAATTCAGTATCTTTTTAAATGCACACAGTAAAAGCTGCTCTCAAATCCAAAACTCTACCCAGCTCAACAGAAATACATTAAAAATCAAAAGGACTGAGTTTGCTGGATTATAAAAATGACCATCACTAACTTCTTCCATCTAAAACGAATCTCAAACACCCCTCCACACAATTCTCAGAGTAGAGGGAGGTCAGAAAGTTCAGAACAGCCACTGCTGTGAGAAAGGGCACGGGCAGCATCTTACCGGTCTGTTCTTGCACAGATTCAAGGATACTGCGAACGGCCACTTTGGGATCCTCTCCAAGTTTAATATGGTTTCGGACTGCGAACAGAAGGTCCAGGCTCACTAACAACTTGTTGCCCACATTGAACAGGCCTGCAGTTTAACAAACAATACAGCAGTTACCAGGGAAGTTTTAGAATTCCAGACACTAATCATAAAACACACTGCTAAACAGATCATGTCAAATTTGGTTTAGAAGGTCAAATACATTACATCTAGAAAGGCCTGGCGGGGGTCTCTATTCCCTCTCCTTGCACTACAGCAAAATTTGCTCCCTTTTCAAGTCTTGCCTTTAATTGTAATAGCACCCAGCTTGCACTGCTTTATAAATCCTACAGCGATGAGGTTCAGTGCCCTCAGCCAACAAGGACCGAGAAGCTCATTGCATTTGTGTTTTTCAGCACTTACCGTCTGCACCACAGAATGAATTATTTACTATTTCCATATACAAAGACAAGTGGGGTGTGCTCTCAGTCACTACAGTGACCAACATAAGCCTCAGTAAAGCAAGAGAAAGAGCAGCAGTACACTCTAAATCCAAAAATTCACATCTGGAAGGGTGGAGAGAAGTCTTTTCTGTACAAGGTCTCTATAGATAAGCCCACTGATAGTTTGTTTTTTCCTACCTGTGTATATATCAGTGAAGCTATGCAGGGCCAGGCACTGCAGATTCAAACACACTTTGACCTGGGCAGTAACCACCTGTAACTGGTTAGCCGTCAGCAACCAGCACTCCTGTGGACCAGCAAGAGAACTGTAACACATAAATGAGGGTGGGAGGGAGAAAGACCATTATCCCACTAGTGAGCAAGCTTTCCAGCCACTAGAGGAGGAAATAGGAAGGCAACTGATTGCCAACATTATTTCCAAAACCATCAGCCTGAATTCTAAAGACACACAGAATCAAACGTCAGCTAAACTCACAACTTGTCACAACTAACAGGATCCACACAGCAAGCACTCTGACCAGCTATAAAATAAGAACGGGGGAGAACATGTTGTATCACAGCACATCTATAATCCTGCAGTTCACATCACTGCATCCTTCACATCTCTCACGGTGCACTTCACAAAGCATCAGGAATGTAAAAATAAAATGGGATTAGCAACCACAAGCCAATGTCAAATAAGATTTCATGCTCGCTCAACCCACTGAACTTGAATGCTGGAAGAAATCAAACCTCAGGGATGTGAAACTTGAATCTGTAACAGGAGAAATCAAGGGACACCAGTTTCCTAAAAATCTCAAAGTACCAAAATGGCCATAGAGAGAATGTATTCAATGAAAGAAAAGAGTTTTACAGTTGTGGCCATGCATTATATATAAAACGTCAGCTTTCAAATGAATGTGAATGCTTAACTAGCAAAGTAGTACAGAAGATGTGACAGGATCTGAATAATTGTTGCTGCACTTCAAAAGAATCTGGAGCTAATTTTTAAGGTGGTGGCAGCACAAGGATTAATATGTCGTCAACTTTCTTGCCTGAAAACCTGAGTTCATTGGCTGTTATCAGAAAGATACCACATAGGCAGACATGATGGCCTACGCATTCAGAACTAAAGTGTTTTGAGTAACAGAAATCCTGCAGGTCAGGCAGAGCTATGAGAAGGTAAAGAACTGGAGCAAGCAGATGGTACTACAGGATCAGGACTAAGGTGCATGGATAGAGCTGTGGACGCAAAATTTACACATTACTTCTGGGTAGCATTTGCAAGTCGTTCACTTTCAGAACAGCTACATTCGACACCATCACCTCCCAAGATGCAGAAAGGGCCTGCGTACGTATTACAACAGTCTATTCCCAAACTCACAAAAGCACAGATGTGCCTACAGCTGATCTTGGGAGCTAAAGGAAAATGTGCACTACTTACACAGATGCAAGTTGCATGCTGTTTGCAATGGCTTTCATGTGGAGGGGATAAAGCACTATTATCCTCAAAGGCATCTTTAATACAGAATATCAGAATAAGGGTGAATGAGAGTCACAAATCCAAAACAGAATCTTACTTCTGTCCCCCTTTGAACAGAGGGCTGTTACAGAGGAGGCACTGCGTAGATGGAGACTCATAATAGTTTGACCAGGAGGTCTGCTCGATGGTGACCGTCTCCTCACTCACGTTGGACAGGATGAGCCGTGAGCTGTTGAGTTCGTGGATGAGTGTGAAGACCTCTGCCAGTTCCGACTCATTCTCTGGGATTTGCATTACCTTGCGCAGCAGCTGCAGTGTCGATTGGCGCTGAATCTCTTTCTGGGACTGTGTCAGGGGTTCACTGGTGTTCAATACATCAGGAAGACCTGAGCTGACCTCCTAGAAAGAGCCAAAATTTCACTTGGATTTTGTCAGACAAATAGGGAGTAAAAAACTAATGATGACGCCTCAGCACTCCTGAGAGGTAGAGGACTATTCTACTCACTTTGCTACTAAGTAAACAGATACAAAGATATTAAGTAATCTGTCCAAAGACAAAATAGCATAGTACAGAATCCAGAAATGCTGAGTTCAGGCCCCTGCTCTGTTAGACAAGGCATCTCATAGCTTGAAGGGCTGGGTTATTTATTTTTATTTCAGCAGAACTGCTTTATAAAAGTAGATAGAATGCAGCAGTGAGGAAACCTCACCTACAATGGTTTACCAGCTCATAATAAGTGACAGCTATTTGCAGCGCAGGCCTTCAGAAAACTTGGTGGTGGTGATGAAGTGTTACCATATACACTGGATGATGGAGAGGGTGGAGATGAGCACTGCAAATGTATACAAACTCTTTAATGTTTCTACAAACTGTATTATTTACTTGAGTGCAGGCAACTGTAAAAATTCCCCTCCCACATAACATAAAAATCTACAAGAAGGAGGAGACGGGCAACTGAATGCTAAGAGATAATTAAGTGTCCAGCTTTGAATGCATTGTAATTTGTTAAAAGTGATTATCATGTAGTCTATGTGATCAGCAGCTCAAAGTAGTAAAGTACACAGGAAAGAGAGGAATCAAACACTAGGGGGCTCAACAAGATAGAAAGAACATTAACAGCCTCTCATCCACTTTATCAGTAAAACAAACCATCATGCCAATGCTTCAGCTTGTGTTCCTGTCTAGCCTTGTGAGAAAATAAATGGCCTGTCCAAGAAAAGGGTACACAGCATCGATTCCAGAACAAACCATATTACAGGAATGTTAAGGCTGAGACAAAAACAGAAGTCCAAAAAAACCAAACAAGGAGAAAAACAAACCAAATTCCCTCAAAAATGCCACCCAGCTTAGTGAATTAAAGAAACAGTTAAGGAAGATCATAATATTCTTAAAGTATCCATTTATGCAAGTTTCACATGGGGTTATTTGAGGATTTTCTGGGGGGCAGGAGGGGAGAGCTTTTACATCGTGTGCAGAAAAAAAAATTGTACTTCAGAATAAAATTCAGCTGAAGGAACAAGCTTACTGTAGTGTACAGACTAGCTGGTTTACATGCTGACTGAACCTGCTAGCTAAGAAAAGGGCAAACTCTATGGTTTTTAATTTAATTAATTAAAAAAAGAACCCAGAAGATGTTTGCTCACAGTAGCAAAAACAAGCACCTTAAAAAACCAACTATGATAGATAAAAAGGAACTTTATTCCAATTTTAAAAAAAAGAAATACTAGCTAAGAATGTGTTTACCAACAATCCAGGAGCGGTATAAATTTGTGTTATGAACAAGACATTCTAGTACACAAATGGTAAAACTGAACTGATATTTGCCACCACAGCTCAGCCAAAAAGATAGCATCAGATTACAAAAAAAAAAAAAAAAAAAAAAGAGTCTGATGAGATCCCTCACCTCTTTCAGACTGCATAAAGCAGACAAAGCTGATGCTGCATACTAGTTTTATAGTTTCAGGAGGTTCCCCCTTCGCATGTACATCTGTTCCATGAGGCATGTTTTTAAATGGCAGCATGCCCTCAGTGGTAAGATTGAGTACTATTGGTCTGTAGTACCTATTTTCAGTGAAAACTACCATTCACAACTGTGGGCAGTGAATAGTCCCAAAAAGAGATCACTACACAACTACAGTGGATCATTTTTCAGCCACCAGGTACTGTTTCATCATATTCTAAACATTCACCTGAGAAGGTCAATTTTGATAAAATTTTCATGTTTACAAAAGCAGTTTCATAGGGTTAAAAAGTTCCAGATCTTGGGGAATGCTGACTGTTTCTAAATGACTGTTCACTTTAAAGACATTTTTGAAAGTAAAAATCAGAAATAAACTTTCCTATCAACCTGAAACTATTTCCCCCCAATAATTCATTTTCATGGAAAATTTATGAACTTTTTGATTTTGTTCTAATTCAGAGCAAACACAAATTTCAAAAACTGTCTATTTCCCACAGAATGGAAACTCCAAACTTCAACTGGTTCTATACATAACCGAAAGAGTCAACAGACCACAGTATGATATAACATGATTCAGTAGTGGAAACTGCTGCTAGGCAATTTGGTCTAGAAATGAGGTTTTTTTTTTTTTTTTTTTTTTTAAACAGTGAAGGAAAATAACTATTAGAACAATTTACCAAGGGTCATGGTGGATTCTCTATCACTGGCAACTTTAAAAATCAAGGTTGGATGCTTTTTTATTAAGTATCCTCTAGGAATTCTTCAGGGGAATTCCATGGCCTGTGTTATTCAGGAAGTCAGAAGAGATAATCACAACAGTCTCTTCTGCCTTTGAAATCTACAAATCTAAAAGACCAAGTACAATTAACTCAATCATTCAGCAAGAAAAAACAGAACCAAACTCACCAAGGATTTCACAGTTTTGTCAGCTCTATCTTTGGCGAGGTTGTAACCACAGCTGGGACAGATTCGCGGCTTGTGCCTATTTGTATATACGTAGCTACAAGAGGGATTCTTACACTTGCCTCTTCCACGTGATGTTGCCAATCCCAAATCCTGAGAAGGAAAAAAAAAGTGCGCCAAATGATAAGGATTGTTTAACTCAAAGCACTTGTAATACCATACAGAACCATTCAACTTTATGTCTCTAGCTCCAATCCAATCCAGATCAGTAGTGACGTGAAATTAGTAATAAGTTAAACGATTAAATGTTATGTTCAACAGGGGCAGGCTGGCGCTGCCCTCCCTGCAGTAGGAGAAGGCTGCTCTGACCAGGCTGGAGCACCCCCACCTATGGCGCACCACTACGGACAGATCAGGCCTGTTGTGGAGTATCCCTACCTGCAGCGTGCTGGGCCCCTACCAGGTTGGAGCAGTCCCCTGTCCATGGCAGCTTGCTCCAGCCCCCGTTGGTTAACCATGACCAGAAAGCATCACCCGTCAAGGGTGATGCTTGCCAGTTAACCAGTCTCATCCCTTCCTGAAATCATTACCTTCTGAAGACAGCACTGCACTTCATGGAACAAATGAGCTGGTTCTTACCTCAGGCCAGGCCTTGTTAAGATTGCGAGGCACCACCCAAACCCACCCCTCCAGCAGTCTCAAGAGAACAAATATTATACCATCATGGAGGCTATGGCGTACCTTCTTCCCTATAATGTTGCCTCCTCCAAGACAGAGTTGAGATATTTGTACTGCCATGCAGGAAAGCTTACCCTGCCAATACCCCTGCAGGAGTCTGAGATGCTTAGTGCTGTTAACTCAGTACATGAAATGGACAATATTTGCATTTAAAAATTCAAAGAGCCAAGCTGTGCCTTTGGAGCAGACTGCACAGACATCATAGCTTGAGTGCCCACAACAGCCTTGCCAAGTTTAGAAGCAGCAGATCCAAAGTGCTCACTCGGAAGAGGAAAGCAATTGCCCTTCCACAGTACAGCCACTCTCAAGAGGCTCAGTGGTGCTCCACATCAAATCAAACACACCAAAAGATCCTTACCAAAGTTACAGTGCAGCTGTACTTATAAGAGGGAAATACATCTGGTTTGACCTCCACTACTTTCACCTGAGATGCTCTGCTGGCTGGGCTGCTGTGGAGCTGCAGATGAAAGCGGTTTGGGGAGACGGCAGGGAAAGAAAAGCACATAAATCATACATTTGAGAGATCTGGCACGGATGGCAGCTCACAAGCAGTGCCTATAAATGGTTTGAAAAGGAGACCAGTGACTACCTTCTTGCTAACAAAGAATTTCAGTACTTTTCTCCAAATTATAGGGTTACAATTTAAACAACCTATTCCAACAACTTTGCATGCTCTGCGTCTTAACCAGTCATTTCAAGCACACATGTAAGAATAATACTTAGTACTTCTATCACACACATCTTCAAAGCACTTAGGCCAGGTCTACACTAAACCTTTAGTCCACTTAAGATAAACAACTCCAGCTATGTTAATTATGTAGCTGGAGTCGAAGTACCTTAAATCACGTTTTGGAGCCCTCCACATAGTGGGAGGTCGATGGGAGCACATGCTCCTGTCGACTTCCCTTACTCCTTGTGAGGAGCAGGACTACCGGCGTTCATGGGAGCGCCCTCTCAGTTCGAATTAGCGAGTCTTCACTCGACCGGCTAATTCGAGCCCAGAAGATTAACTGCAGCAGTGTCGATCTTCTCTGTAGCGTAGACAAGCCCTACCTGATCCCAAAATGCCCCTCTGAGAAGTGTTATCGGAGACACACATGTAAAGACTAGTTCAAGGCCATAGAGCCGAAGATCTGCAATTACAACACACTAGCTCTTAGGTCTAACACTAGCCCATGCGGCCTCAGGCGAATCTCCTGCACTAAGCAACATTAGTCACAAACCCCATCACCGAGGGGTTACTCGGTCTCCACACATTTAGGTCAGAAGCGAGAAATCCTACTTTAAACCTACTAGAGAAATCCAAGTGCATTTTGAAAAGCAAGACTCACTCTTACCTTTCGCTCACTAATGCTACACGGCTGTAGGACAGACTGACCCAGTTGCTTCAGGGTACTGGGCTTCAGGCCCGAGGTTCTCACAGCGGAATGCTTATCTTGAAGGAGGAAAGAAAGCAGCAGGTTAAGTGTGTGCAAGCCACGTTTTTGTTTTACTTTGACAACTTTGGCAAATGCAGCCACAGGACACAGTGGAGCTGCTGTCCTCAGAACCTGAACGGATCCAACCAGACTTTGCAAATCGCATTTCTGCCCCAGGTGAAGTAGCCCTTTGCTGCCAAAACCTGACTTTGTAAGGTGTTCACTGGTGACTATAATAGACCCACTAAACTCTAAGCCACCTGCATTCTAAACAAGTATTTCTAAGATGCAACACCAAGCACAGGCATCCAGTATGTAAGGTGGGGGAAGGCTCTGACTTTCCAAACCACCAGGCGTAGCCCTGCCCACACTCCGCCCCCAGAACATCTGCTGTAGGTGTTCCGGGGCAGAGTGTTACTGCTCCCAGCAATCGCACTCCCCATGCTCCAGGGCTGGAGAGGCAGGGCTGGGCCAGGCCACATGGTGTACCCTACTCAGGGACCGGAACCATGCCACGCACCCTCCGACCTCCTCTGGTGCTGTAGTGGCTGGGGCCATGCCATGTGCCCTACAACCTCCTCCCTCCCCAGGGTTTGAGAGGCTGCGCTGCATGGGACACCCTCCTTCCTCCCCCAGTGCTCCACAGCTGGAGAGGCTGGGCTGTGTCGGGTCGCATGGCATGCCCTCCTCCAGGTCTAGGGAGGCTAGGGACATGCCATGCGCCCTCTGTAGGGCTGGGGAGGATAGGGTCATGCCATGTGCCCTCTGCAGGGCTGGGGAGGCTGGAGTGAGTGGGTACCCACCTGCTCCCCGCCTCTCCCCATGGTTGGGAGGGGGAGCACATGCATGGCATGCTGCCCCACCTCCCTGTGGGGGTGGGGAAGGGGCAGGGCCTCGGAAGAAAGGGCAGCACTGGATTGCCTTCACCAACCACCCATGACATCAAGCCAGCAAGTCATTCCAAACGTAGCATTCAAATACACCCCACTTGCTAATTGCCCCCTTCTCCCCATTCTTACAGAGCTTCTGCTGTCAAAGCCTATTGTGGATGGCTTCTTGCTTCTACCTTTACCTGGAAAGCCCTGTCGGCTGCTGAGCGGCTCTGTGCGGATTTCCCTCCCCAAGCTAGCAGGAGCAGGTAGGATTGCTCTCATGGGTCTCGCAGCAGCCAGTAAGGAGGGCTTGGGTTTTGGTTTGCTCTTCAGTTCTTGTCCTTTGGGTGCAGCAGCAAGAGCATCGACGCTGAAAGACAAGACATGCAGCTGTCGAGAAAGTTCTACCCATGCTAGTGAAGGGCAGTCGCATTCCATGGCAGAGGGTAGACAGAAGAGCACAAAGCTAATAGCTCTGATGTTTTTGGCGAGTTGGAGAACAAATCTCTGACCCTGGATTTATCCTGATTCACTTGTTACCTACGTGAGCCATGTAAGAAGCTGCCATCTAAGAAGAAATGCCAGCACTGATCAGCACCATCAACAGTGCCACATACAAGTGACGGCTCAGTGTGACACCTCTGTGAAATCAATCAGCAATGACTCACCCCATTGGCTTTTTTACAGTGGAAGTTGGACTGGCAAGTGAACGTATCTCAGCAGATGGCTGCGACCCTCTCTCTGTACTGTCTCTCTCAGTCTGCTCTAAAAAGGAGTTGCCCTGAACATTGCAATCTTTAGCTGGCATCACTGCTGCTGCATTCCCATCGTCCTGGGCTTGCACACTGTTTGCAAGGATGTGAGCCTCTGAGATGATTACTTCTTCCCATTCATTCTCGTGAATCTGCTCCCGAACAGGCACTGCACTCAGCAGCTGGCTGACAGCTTCAGAGCTTTCCAGAGTACACTTGGTGGCATCCTCCTGAGCAGCTGCCTTCTCTGGAGTTCCTGGCTGTGGGCTTCTTTTAGCCCCTGGTGCTCTGAGGGGGAGACCTGAGCTCTGCTCAGCTTTGCTTTTTGGTTGCTTTTCCTGAGAGAGAGAACAAAAAGATCAGACTATCCCAGGTAATTCAGAGCGTCACACTTTTACACCCAAAGTGTATTCATAACTTGGCTGATTTGCAGAGGCTGTTTAACATTAGCTAGAAAAGCAGCAAAGCCAGTGTCCAAGCACCACATTGCATATAAAGCCAGAAGAGACTCTCTCATCTCCTTGCAGATGGAGATCCTTGCTAACATGTGTTCTATCCCATTGTGCCTTTTTCACAAACACTTCTCATTTCATAGCGTGCAGTCATGTCATAGCAACAGAAGGGGTTTTTTCAGTCAATGGGGGTAATTCACCTACCTGAGCAGCAGAAGCTATGGTGAGGGAAGAATTATTTCATCAACTCCAGCCATGTCGATCTTGGAGTGTGGTCAGCTTAACAATGGTGCTCATGGGTGTGATTTTTTTTTTTAACACCCCAGAGCAATGCAGCTAGGCTGTTCCAAATTTTAAGCATAAACTAGGCCTTAGCCATTTTTAAACCTACTCAGAACATCAGCATTAGTATAGAAATAGCAACCTCAGAACTTATTCATCCATTTCTCTCTCTAAATAGGATGCCCTCTTTTACAGCTCCAGCTCTCCAGAAATCCTCACCTCCCCTCCAAAAAAATCTAGGAGGGGAGTGAACTAAATGAGCAGCCAGCCAGAGTGGGGAGGAGGAGAGTGTTTTCTGGAATCTCTCAGGACAAGTTCATTTGGGATACTTCAGTAAGCAGACTCACAAGGAGGGGAGGGTTTAAACTTGTAGCTGAAACATTTTTTTCCCCAGAGGCTGAATCCAGGAAATCTCTTTCCTTGGAAAAGCCAAATATAGATTGGACCCTCTAAATTAGAGGGGTAGGAATTGAGATTAGTGGATGGTGTCCCTTTAAAAAAAAAAGGACATTTCAGGCAACATACCCATGATACTGTTTGTTTAAATTTGCAGTGTTATTTCCATATCTATCCCAGGATATGAGACACAAGATGAGTGAGCTCCTCTTCAGCTCTGTATAAGCTCAAAAGTTTGTGTCTCACCAGCAGAAGTCGGTCCAATAAAAGAGATTACCTCATTCATCTTGTCTCCCAGATTGTTCAAAAGGAAATTAAAAAAAATAAATAAATCAAGCTAAAGGATTTTCTGCTTCACTGCAATTTTTTTGGCAGTTGACAGGCTGTGTATTAAATCACATTTACAGAAGAATGCTGGAAAAGATGCCATTATTTATTTGTATAGAGATAGCGCTTGGGATCTTCAATGATGGGTTAGCACCTCACTGGGTTAGGCATTCCACACAGTTCCCCAACCTTAAAAAACAATCCTTACCCTAAAGAACTTGATGGATCATCCCATCACAGATGGACTCACTTAAAGCCACTGGTGGAAATTTGCATATTCAACCTCCTTAGACTTGTGCCAGCAGAAGTGTCTCATGCACATGTCCCCAGAATTAGATGCCATGAGTGACCAGGTTCTTGGTTACACTCTTCCCTTTCCAAGGTTCTCAAGAACAACTTTCCATTTTATACTGCCAACTAGGTGACAAATAATTTAAGTGAGCTACATCAAGAGAGTAGTTCCATTTGAACAAGGTTTGTGTCCTCCTTTTGGTACTGGACTTATGTGAAGGATAGAGTATATTTTATGAACCATCTTAAAATCTAAACAACTTCTTCCTTTGTTCCCTGGAATTTCCTCCCAGTCCTTTCATATTACTGTGCAAAGCCTCAATTTTAACATTGTTACTAAAACTAATGAAGAAAAACCATGGACATGAGCTACTAAATCCATCACAGAGCTCTGATCCCCATTGCATAGCTCCTGTGACTTGGCTCCCCAGTGATCCAGCTGTCCTCTGTCATTTGAAATGTGCTGTTTTGCTTCCCTATGAAGGCATGGTAAAATGGTGCATTGGAACCACAGCCTGTAAAAATTGCTCCAAACCAGATGTTTGTTGTTTATCCACCAAGACCATGAAATAAGTGATTGAACTGAGTCCCTAAACTTATTTGATGCTATAAGCAGGTATGGCAGGCACCTTTCAGATACTGGTGTTACGTTGCAGTCAGAAAGCAAAGAAAGGATTTGGGGATCAGAACTTCACAAGATTGCCCCTTTAATATGATTACTACAAGAGTGGCATCTTCAGCACAGAAACAAGAAATCCAAACAAAAGGTCTGTGTTAGAAAACAGGTCTCGCCATCTCACTGGTGACTGACACTAGCAGAGTAACTGGAAGAGAAGATCAGAGATTCACTTCCTCAGGTCTGAGATTTGCTCAGCATTTAGGGTTTCATAGGTATGCGCACAAGGGTCACTTTCCAGTTGAGACTCAGTCATTGGGAATAAAAAAATTATGTGAAAAGTGGAAAGGTACCTTTGGGATCCATTTTCCTCCCAAGAAGTTTCCACACTTTGGGCACTTCGGCGGTTTGTGTCTAGTGACATAAGTAAAAGAACAGCCAGGATTGGTGCAGTTTCCATGGCCCCTGCGGGTGTAAGTGGTTGTCTGAAATAAAAAGGTTGCCAACAATTTATTTGCAGCACTAGGTACCATAAAGACACATCACAATCGTTGTTCTCTATCAGTAAGCATTCAAACATTAATTCAATAATTACTACAATCTTCCATAAGCCAAGTAGAACTACACATTTTACAGATGACAAATTGTTGCAGCCAAAAGTCAAATATTTTGCCTGTAAAGGGGGAGTGAGAATCAGGGTTGTAGCCAGAATTTAGAGGATAAGGGTGAGACTTACCAGATAATCATTCAATCCCTAGCCAGATCCTAGAGGTTCAGTGATCTAGGTCCCTTTACTGAACACTAAATACTATCAAGGCCCATGTTTTCTGTAGCTGTGCAATTTGGCACACAATACAACTCTTGTTGCAGAAGCTAAAAAAATTTCTCAATCCTTTATGAATGTAAAGAAACATGAACCAAATGTAAGCTGATTCATTGCCATACCAGTCTTCAAATAGCCAACAGACATGAAATACTCTATTCATCACAGTTGAGGCTAAATGGAATATTTGTAGGGGATTCTTTTGAAATCTCTCACAGATGATGATTTTAACAGAAACCTGAACTGCCTTTTGTTTCGGTATCAAAAGCCTCAATTGTGTCTCAGTACGATTACCAGCTCTTCGATCTTCCCCAGCCAATCTACACAATATAGTCATGTGCTTGCTTTAAAAAAAAAAAAAAAAAAAGCAGCAGCAGCGTAGCGTACTACTGGATGAAAACGTGAAGACAACCTACAATAAACTAAATTTACTATCAAAGCAAGCATCATTTCCATATTCATTATAAAACTCCATTTTTAAGTGTATCTAAAGCTCTGGCACTAGAGTACTATGGAGCTTACAATTTGACAGAGGAAGTGATAGCCATCTGCTCAGGGTAAAGGAGCAGAACATGATAAAAAACCTTAAAGCCTGCTGCAGACAAGTTAGTGTGCCTTGTCTACCTTAGGGCACTAACACCTTCTATATACTATTGTAGATAGGTTCCAAGAGAAAAACACTAGCTCCTCCTTTACTCACCAGTTTGATTGATGTTGGGTTCTCCACAACAGAGTGAGCCTGGAGAGGCAGCATAATAAACTGTGTGGTAGGCATAGAGGAGCTGCTCTCATCTGTGTCCTTAAAGAGAAAAAAAATACATAACCAACAAGGGCACATATCTAGCTAGCTGCATTCTGACCTTTCATTGAGGGTATCTTCAACACCACATTTAGGAGTCTATCAATACAATAGAACCATGAGGCACCAGTGGTACAAGTAACAGGATTTCAGGATTGATGGCCTACTGGAAGTGCTCTGCAGACAGATTACAAAGAGAGTGACAACCTGATAACCAAAGAGAAGATAGAAGCAACATACTCAGTTCCTAGACAGAATCTGCTTTATATCACTGAATCCTTCCTTCCAACCAGGGATTTGAAAGGAGTCTTCATTCAGTCCTCTACAGCTGGGAAGTCTGCCGCATGGGACAGAGATAAAACACAGATTCCATAGAACAATGCTTTAGTATATCTGTGGAATTCAACCCAAACCTCAAAGTTTGATCCAGCACTTCATCTTTTAGGCCTGAGGGTAATAGTAGAAGGGAGGAGAGGAGGCACTGAACTGCATTTTTCACCGTCTTATAAGAACGGCCATATTGGGTCAAACCAAAGGTCCATCTAGCCCAGTATCCTGTCTACCGACAGTGGCCAATACCAGATGCTCCAGAGGAGGTGAACACAACAGGTAATCCTCACATGATCCCTTCCCTGTCACCCGCCTCCAGAGAAACAGAGCCTAGGAATGCCATTCCTGCCCATCCGGGCTAACAGCCATTGATGGACCTAACCTCCATGAATCTATCTAGCTCTTTTGTGAACCCTGTTAAAGATCTAGCCTTCACCACATCCTCTGGCAAGGAGTTCCACAGGATGACTGTGCGCTGAGTAAAGAAAAACTTACGTTTGTTTTAAACCTACTGCCTATTAATTTCATTTGGTGACCCCTAGTTCTTTTATTGTGGGAATAAGTAAATAATTTTTCCTTATTCACTTTTTCCATACCAGTCATGATTTTATAGACCTCTATTATATCCCCCCTTAGTCTCCTCTTTTCTAAGCTGAAAAGTCCAAGTCTTTTTGATCTCTCTTCATATGGGACCCATTCCAAATCCCTAATCACTTTTGTAGCCCTTTTCTGAACCTTTTCCAATGCCAATATATCTTTCCTGAGATGAGGCAACTACATCGGTACACAGATGTGGGCGTGCCATGGTTTTACAGAGAGGCAATAAGATACTTTCTGTCTTATTCTTTATCCCTCTTTTAATGACTCCTAACATTCTGTTCGCTTTTTTGACTGCTGCTGCACAAAAAATGAGCAAAAATTGTTGCTTCCATCACTATTGATCTAGTTGAGCCATGGAACAGGAGTGGCATAATTCATTAATGTCACTTTCCGCCAGCATGAATCACTAGAAAGAAACCATCTAGCTAAGCAGCAGCATTGGCAAAGCAATGTTTTAAGCAGCTATAAGAAACATTCAGGCAATAAGTCAATAGAAATAGTTACTATTTTAGCTTACCCTCCCGGTCACCACTGTTACCACAGACAAGCCATCAGAAACCTGGGGCTGTGCCACAGCAATGCTCCCATTGGAGAGGTCTCTGGAGCTGCTAACAAGAGTCTCTTCAATAACCACACTAGTTGTCTGATATGGATGTCCCTCTCCTATTTCCAAAGATGCCTCATCCAAGAGGATATCTCCAGTTATTTTATCTGCTATGGGTTTGACATAATGAGAGAGAATCTCTGAAGCAACTACTTCTTCTATAGCGTCTGACTGACCAAATGAAGCGGACTCCTCTGCCAGTCCTTCAATAGCAATGCACTGCTCAGAAATGCCAACACGGCTCGAGTCCACGGAAAGGATGTTTTGCATGGCATCATGGGCCACACTTGTGATGTTGGTGGAAGCTGCTACTCCTTCAGATGCTGTTTGGCCCTGTGCCACGCAGAGTTCTAGGTGCTGCCTGCTCCTGTCCTCTTGAAGAGCTGTTTTGGGGATGATTATATAATCCGAACGAGGGAGGATTTTACGGAAGCCTGGAATGTCTGGAACTACTGCAGTCAGAGTGGACAGCTTGGAGTTCTGTTAAGACAAAGCATAGAAGAGAGAGGAGCAAGAGACAAAAGAATTAACAGGTTTAGTTCAAGGTTTTTATGGGTTTTTTAAGTCCATCCATTACAGTTCAAATAACTTCCAAAGGCAGATTGCTGGCGAGTCCTTCACATCTCTAACAAAGCCTTCATAATCCTCTCTCCTCTTATCCCCTATATTAATCCCACTCATCCCGGCGGTCTTATCTGAAAGCTGCTATTCCTCTGACCAGTAGGTACTGGACAGAAGCCTTTTGGAGTTTGCCAATGCTGCTTCTTAGCTAGATGGATGCAACTGCCACTAAGTCAGCCATATTCTAGGGCTGATTTAAAACACCCATCTTGTACATAGTTATTCTGCTTCTGTCCTTTTACATACTACACTGTGTTAGGTTTACATGACATTGTACTGCACTATAATGTGACTTAGTGCAGTGTAATCAGATACCACTGGATGCAAAACACTTTGCAAATTTAAAGCAGCAGCAGCTTTTTATTCTAATGAAGAGCATCACAACTACTCCTAAACACACAGGAAACCATGCTTCTTTACACCAAAAAGCAAATTTACAGTAAGTAAAAATAGCTAGCAACTCATGATTTTTCCTAATATTTTTCTCATAGCATTTTCAGGAGAAAGCAAAGGATACAGCAATTGATGATTCATATGCCTAAGGATGTCGAAAGACGTGAAGGAATTTAAGAAACTTGACTTACCGGGTCTAATCCTTCTTTCTCCAGTTTGGCCTTTTCCAAATAGTAGCTTTTTTCAGCCACACTGAGCAATCTCCAGCTCTCACTGATCTTCTTGTTAATTTCAGATTGCGGGAGGTGGGGGAGCTCCTGCTGTACTTTCAAATATATGTCATAATAGTACAGGAGGTAAGCCGATCTGAAACACAAGTGAATACTGAACTCAGTCTCTTCCTTAACACCACACCTGGAAAAAAAAAGACCAGGCTTATCCTGGCCTTAAGAGCAATGATGAGAACTTTCCTGGGCTTGTTTTGTATAGACAGTCAGAAAAATGAGGAAAAGTCTATTAATAAAGTGAAGACCTACAAGGAGATTTAGGGGAGAAGGCACACGGGCCTATATCAATCACTCAACAAAGTGTGAAACATATTTGAGTCTCTAATACGGGTTGAACCTCCCAAATCCAGGACTCTCTGGTCCAGCAGGCCACAGATGTTGTTGGACCAAAGAGCCCCAGAGACGGAGAGCAGGAGGCTGCTGGGAGACTGCAGGGCTGGGGAGCCCTGGCTGGGCCAGGTGGCAGCTGGGGAGCCCCAGCCCAAGAATGCCCAGCATCAGCAGAACCAGGTGATGAATGGGGAGACCCTGACCTGGCCAGAGAACCCCTGGTGTTAGCTGAGCCAGGCAGCAAACAGGAAGTCCTGCCCTGGCTGGGTAACCCCTTGCAGCAGCAGTCAGGCAGCCCCAATGGGAGCAGGACCGGCTACAGCAGCAGGACCGGTGGTGGCCAGGCAGCCTCAGCCAGGGAACCCCCAGAACCCCTGGAAGTAGCGGGGCTGGGATGGCTGGGTGGCCCCAGCCAGAGAACCCCCAGCGGCAGCAGAGCTGGGAAGCAACAGGTGAGCCTTGACCGGGGAGCCCTGGGAATCCCCAGCAGCAGCAAGCAGGAGCCCCAGCCTTGGGAGCGGGACAGCCAGCAGGAGAGCACTGACCTCCCCTGGCCCAGCAAACTCCCTAGTTCTGGACGACTCAGGTCCTGACAGTGCTGGACCAGCAAGGTCCAGCCTGTAGTGTTTTAACCATTCAGTGGACATTAAACGGTGTATCACCAATTAAACATGCAATTACTGGGTACAGTCAAAGGACAGTTGGCCTGTTAAAGGCAGATGGGCATGAGACTTACTTATGAGATCGGCTCAGTCTCAGATGGAAAAAATGATTTTAGTCATGTGAAAGGAAGGGCATATGAGTGACTCAGGCCAGGCTTTAGGGATTTAAGGAAGAAGCCCGAGTAAGAATCATAGAATACTAGGACTGGAAGGAACCTCGAGAGCTCATCGAGTCCAGTCCCCTGCCCTCATGGCAGGACCCAGTACTGTCTAGACCAGGCATGTCCAAAGTCCGGCCCGCGGGCCAATTGCGGCCCGTGTTCCGGTTTAATACGGCCCCGCAGGTAATTTGCCAATATCTATCTTTTATGGTCCCCAACGAATCCATATGTATTGAGATGAATACATTGTAAAATCTCAGTTAATGTCAGTTGGTCTAAATCAGTTATAAATATATTTGGACTCAACATATTTTTTTAACTTAAAAGTTGACAGACAACCTTGATTACCAATAATATGTAATGTACTTTACAATGTTCCTGACATATTTCAGCTTCCTGGATTTTTTTTTTCATCTGGCCTTCAGATATGAAAGGCAGAGTGATTTAACACCTGTTTAGATTTGTCATCCATGTGACGAAATGAAAAGTATGCCGTTTGCAATAAACTTTGCATAAAATAGTTAATTTGCATTTAATTGTAATGGTTCAAAGAATGTCAGGCAAAATGGTCGGCCCTCACGCATGTTCACTTCATCAAATCTGGCCCTCTTTGAAAAAAGTTTGGACACCCCTGGTCTAGACCATCCCTGATAGACATTTATCCAACCTACTCTTGAATATCTCCAGAGATGGAGATTCCACAACCGCCCTAGGCAACTTATTCCAGAGTTTCACCACCCTGGCAGTTAGGAACCTTTTCCTAATGTCCAACCTAAACCTCCCTTGCTGCAGTTTAAGCCCATTGCTGCTTGTCCTATCCTCAGAGGCCAGGAAGAACAGTTTTTCTCCCTCCTCCTTGTGACACCCTTTTAGATACCTGAAAACCACTATTATGTCCCCTCTCAATCTTCTCTTTTCTAAGCTAAACAAGCCCAATTCTTTAGTCTTCTTTCATAGGTCATGCTCTTTAGGCCTTTAATCATTCTTGTTGCTCCTCTCTAGATCATCTCCAATTTCCCCACATCTTTTTCTTGAAATGTGGTGCCCAGAACTGGACACAATACTCCAATTGAGGCCTAACCAGCGCAGAGTAGAGCGGAAGAATGACTTCTTGTGTCTCACTTACAACACACCTGCTAATGCATCCCAGAATCATGTTTGCTTTTTTTGCAACAGCGTCACACTGTTGACTCATTTAGCTTGTGGTCCACTATAACCGCTAGATCCCTTTCTGACATACTCTTTCCTGGACAGTCGCTTCCCATTCTGTATGTGTGAAACTGATTGTTCCTTCCTAAGTGGAGCACTCTGCATGTGTCTTGATTAAACTTCAGCCTGTTTACCTCAGACCATTTCTCCAATTTGTCCAGATCATTTTGAATTATGACCCTATCCTCCAGATTAGTCGTAACCCCTCCCAGCTTGGTATCATCTGCAAACTTAATAAGCGTACTCTCTATGCCGATATCTAAATCACTGATGAAGATATTGAACAGAACTGGTCCCAAAACAGACCCTTGCGGAATCCCACTTGTTGATACCTTTCCAGCAGGATTGTGAACCTTTAATAACTGCTCTCTGAGAATGGTTATCCAGCCAGTTATGCACCCACCTTATAGTAGCCCCATCTAAATTGTATTTGCCTAGTTTATTGATAAGAATATCATGCCAGACTGTATCAAATGCCTTACTAAAGTCTAGGTATACCACATCCACCGCCTCTCCCCTATCCACAAGACTCATCCTATCAAAGAAAGCTATCAGATTGGTTTGACATGATTTGTTCCTTACAAATCCATGCTGGCAGTTCCCCATCAGCTTATTATCTTCCAAGTGTTTGCAGATGATTTCCTTAATTACTTGCTCCATTATCTTTCCTGGCACAGAAGTTTAACTGACTGGTCTGTAGTTCCCTGGGTTGTTCTTATTTCCCTTTTTTGTAGATGGGCACTATATTTGCCCTTTTCCAGTCTTCTGGAATCTCTCCTGCCTTCCATGATTTTCCAAAGATTTTCCAAAGATGATAGCTAAAGGCTCAGATACCTCTTCTATCAGCTCCTTGAGTACTCTAGGATGTATTTCATCAGTCCCTGGTGATTTGCAGAAGCTAGTAATGCTCGAGATAGGACAAATACCTGGGAAATTGTGCTTGGTCTGAGGAAGCACATACAGGTGAGTGCTGCAGGAAATAAAGGAATTACAATCTAGCTCTAGAAAGAAAGGCTGAGAACTATGGATTCCTAGTTCTCAGAAAGAATGGAGAGCACTACGAATATAAACTAGCTCTTGGAGGGAGGGAAAGGAGGAGGGGTTGGATGAGCTCCTGTTCAAGGAGAGAGAACTATCTGAATTGTGATGCTCTTGGCTTTATGATTTTACTGTATTGAACGCACTAATTTATTTTCCTTTGCTTTCATTTGGGGCAAGCGCTTTACCTCTTCTGCTCCATTCTATAAACCAAGGCCCTATTTACTCGATGACTATGTTGGCCTAAGTTCTGCCATACTTCAGAGCAGCAGACTTTTTTTTTCCAGACTTATTTTACAAAAACCTGAAGTTTAATTCAATCTATTATCACCCTTAATATTTTACACTGTCAGATTGTGAAGATCAGAGCTACTATTTCAACACTTCTGTTGCAATACAGATAGGCAACAGAAGTGTGCGTGGGGAAGGGTTATACTACCTTCACGGTTGCAATGTTTTTTAAATGAAATGTTAGATTCTGGAGCGCAATTCTGCAGTAAACAAGTATTCTACTCACTCTCCCCCTGCTTCCCAGTCATAGAATTGCAGAGACTGCAGGATTCTGGTTAAGCAACAGCAATTATCAAAGGTATGTATATAAAACTATTTCAAAGTGGTCCGGCTATATTCCTGAAAGTAGGATATAAAAGTGCTTTTCTGAGCTGCAAAATCTCAGAGAGGTAGCTGTGATATTCTGAGTAGTTGTTTCAGGCAGTAAATAGACCAGATCAAGCATATTGCAGAGGTAAGTCTTATACCAGAGGCAATGAATAGTAGGGATGTGAAAGTGTAACCATGTACACAGTTAAGTAATGAGCCTGTTCACAGATACATGCAGGCTTCTGATATGCTTGAGGAGCTGTCTTAAAAGCTGGATCTCTGCATGCACTGGTTCCCAGGGAGCTGCCTATCCCCTACCCCACACGTTAACTGCTGAAACTGTTTTCGTGATTAAACACATTTTAGCATCTCTATGAAATGTGAGGTCTATAAAATCATGAGTGGTGTGGAGAAAGTGAATAAGGAAAAGTTATTTACTTGTTCCCATAATAGAAGAACTAGGGGCCACCAAACGAAATTAATGGGCAGCAGGTTTAAAACAAATAAAAGGAAGTTCTTCTTCACACAGCGCATAGTCAATCTGTGGAACTCCTTGCCTGAGGAGGTTGTGAAGGCTAGGACTATAACAGGGTTTAAAAGAGAACTAGATAAATTCATGGAAGTTAAGTCCATTAATGGATATTAGCCATCTGGGTAAGGAATGGTGTCCCTAGCATCTGGTGTCAGAGGGTGGAGATGGATGGCAGGAGAGAGATTGCTCGATCATTACCTGTTCGGTTCATCCCCTCTGGGACACCTGGCATTGGCCACTGTTGGCAGACATGATACTGGGCTGGATGGACCTTTGGTCTGACCCAGTATGGCCATTCTTATGTTCTAATACTGTTCAAATTGTACCAGGCCACTGATTAACTGAGCAAGGAAAAGAGAGGAGCTCACCTGGGTTTTTTGGCCTTTTCCCCTTGGTCTCCAGGACTTTTATATTTTTTCTTCTTCTTAGAGGGCACTGGAGATGTGTAGGTGCCTTCTATTTCCTCCATTACTACAGTTACTTCGGTGCCGTCATACTGAGCCTCCATTTCTAAAACAGACAGTATTTTTAAAATGCATAATTTCACAAATTTTGAACTATGCTTCAGTTTCAATAAATTAAATGCCTTTAGTTCATCTGCATAAACTAAAGACTGCCTTGGGCCTTCATTCCATTAACAGACCTGATAGTTAGCTATATTTTCACTATTTTCTTTCTTCCATTTTGCATAGGCCAGATCTATACTAGACCTGAAAGGTCGGTGTAAGGTGTGCAACTATAGCTACGTAAATAACTTAGCAGGGGTCGACATACCTGAAGCCAAGCTTAGTGCCGTCTTCTCAGTAGGAGGTCAATGCGAGCAAATGCTCACATCAGCTTCCCTTCTTACTGTCATAAGGAGTGAGTACCAGCGCCAAACAGGGGTATTCTCAGCATTTGACTTAGCAGGCCTTTACTAAAGAGGATTTATTTCGGGCACAGCAAGTGGAGACGCGGCCATAGTAGAAAAACAGAGGGATGCTAATGGAATTAAGTAAAACACAGACCTCCAATGTTTTGAAGATACTGCAGCAAGGTACTAGGATAGATTATGTGGCTCATAGGGATGTAAAATCCTGTTTAATTGGTTAACTGGCTAAACACAATGGTTAACCTGTTAAACAACTAAAAGGGGACTGGGCTGGAGTGGTCTCCCTGCCTGCGGCATGCCTGGGCATGGTGCGGACAGTGGCTGCTCTGCCCAGACTGGATCACCCTTGTCCATGGTGGTTCCCTGGGGATAGCCAGGGAGCTGCTCCAGCCTCCACCAATTAACCAGAACTGGTGAGCATCCCCCATTAAGGTTAACCAGTTAACCTTTCACATCCCTATATGGAACTAGCCATTTTCCTTTAAATTGCCAATTCAAGGCCAGCCCTGGATAGCGGCACCTAAAAACTGTAATGAACCAGCTTTGGGGAAACCCTCAGGAAATGTTTGGATTTTTTTTCCACCCAGTTCTAAGGGGACAGTTCAGAAAGCCACCATGTCGGATTGTCCACGCTCTCAAAAGCGAGGCCAAGCCTTGAATGAGCAGAGAGGAGAAGTTATCCTCAGGAGGGCCGCACTCCCTTGAATCTGCAGCGGGCTTTATGAAGCAAGGACACTATAGCTTTGGGGAAACCCTCAGGAAATGTTTGGATTTTTTTTCCACCCAGTTCTAAGGGGACAGTTCAGAAAGCCACCATGTCGGATTGTCCACGCTCTCAAAAGCGAGGCCAAGCCTTGAATGAGCAGAGAGGAGAAGTTATCCTCAGGAGGGCCGCACTCCCTTGAATCTGCAGCGGGCTTTATGAAGCAAGGACACTATGGTC